TCATGACAAGTGTTGATTAAATTTTTTCAATTGCGTTGGTGTTGTCACACAAACACAAATCTGTGTTTTTGTGCTCCCGTGAAATTCGGTTAGAAAATTCAATTACAAGCTATGCACATACACACAAACGTGTTTGGAAAACTGTAGTGTAGCATGCGTTTAATTTGAAAGTTTGTTCAGGCATACGCCACAATTTGTTAAACTATTTAGTTATTGATGAATGACACTCGAATAATTGTCGACCAATGACAGTATTTGTTTTTGTGATATTATTAGAAGTTTGTTTGCTGAAATGTCCAGTGTTTTTATTATTTTCTCTTCTTTTTTATAATAAAAGGAAAACATAAATTAAATAAACAATTTACTTGAAAAAGCTTACGGTTTTCAATTTTTTTTAATTATATTCTTAATATTCTTTACTAAACATAGTTTTAATGTTTCAGAAGTCCTGAGCCTGCGTTTATCAGGTGCCGCGTATTACATCATAAAGCTCTCCCAAATGCGAAGCTTAAAGTTGCACCTTTCATCTCCATGATTTTTACGACAACACCGTTATCGTAACGGATCAGGTACCATCTAAGTAGAGGGCTTCTTAGCAAAAATTTTCTCGCAGGAAGCCTGTCGTAAGAGACAACCAAAATCCGAAAGTTGCATCTCTATACCGGTACGACCCGCATTTTTAACCGCCCAATACGGCCACTCCCGCAACATTGCCCTAAAACTAAATGGGGGAAAAATGTTTTTTGGCCATCTATATCAACAACAAAAGCTTATTATCTGCATATCTCTCACTGTATTGCTTTTTTGATTCAGAGCATAGATGATTTGGTTATGATGGAAAATATACAATATATGCTTTAAGCCATTTTCCAAAGTGTACGGACCCCGGACCCTATTCCTTGAAATCTTCTCCACATCCACATTATCATATTTACAGACACCGGCGTCTTTCTTCCCTACCCCATTTCCTCACAAGAGAGGTACTCCATATGTTTGTATATTCAAACCAAATACTAAACACTTTTTTTTTAATAAATCGGTATCTGATCCACCTGTGGAAAATTAAAGAGCTTCTAGTAAATCGCACCAAATATATATATTTTAATTTATCGACTAGATTAGTTCCAGACCCATTGCTGGATTAATAGTTCTACTCGATCATACAGTCCATTCCATTTTTGATTTTGCATTTTTGGATTAAATTTATGGTTTTATATTATTTTCTGACTGTATGGAAATAAGATCTTGGCCGCGGGGAGCATCTCATATTGCATAATTTCGTGCCAATCTCACCAAACACACAACAAAACCTTCCAAATCGTCAATACTGGCTTGGAAACCCTTTATGCGGGGTCACTGTACTTTGACCACGATCGTTTTCGTTCGAAGTTGCTGTAACTAAACTACTTTTCGTCAAAAGTCACAAGCCGCTACAGATATGTATTGAATTTGTTATGATTCAGTAGCGATTCCCTGATGGAAATTCGATTCATGATGATTTTTCTCGTTAACTCAGTGGTAACCATATATCGAGCTTCTTTGTGTATCCAGTATTTTTCAAAACAGTGCTTGCATTACGATCAGATCCAACGACTGTCATTATATCGTCGGCATTTTCGACGATTGGACTTTCACACAGTGAAGTGTCTTTTACATCAAAACTACTGGAATGAAATCGACTAAACCAAAATGGTGCATGATCAACTGTTACAGTATCAGGGCCATAAACACTAACCACATTTTCAGCTGCTTCACTTGCGTTTTCATCTTTATCGAAGAAAAATTGTTAAACTTTTGAGTTGAGAGACCCACAATTCTCATCTTTTTCAGCCCAAAAAATCATACTTTAATAATGAAAAAAGTTTAACTATACATAATATGTACAAATTATATAATATAAGAAATATGGTGCTGAAGGTTTTTATATTTTTCAACTAAACTGAAAATGATACTTGTTTGTCCTTTCCAAGGGTCACAAGTAGAGACGCTATTGAAAATGAGTGAAATCGAACCAAGGTCACAACCCCCTTCCGTGTAAACATAATTTTTGAAATAACGAAAATCTCCGTAAATCAGTAACAAAATACCGTACTAAAGGAAGCTTCTAGATCAGCAGATATGTGTCAGAAACTACGTGACAGCGCACAAAATTTAACAATATTATTGATGCCTATAACTTCAGGGTTCTAATACGAGTACAAATGCAATAAGAGCATAAACGAGCTAAACTTTGTATTTGTTCCATATAATGGGCATTTTACTCTTGAATTAATCGAATGTTTTATTGATTATTTAACCGAATTCAACCAAAATTGAGAGGTGTCCTTCTTTCAATATGACCTAAAGTCCTAAAAAAAATTACTCACAAAGATCCATACGTCATAACATCTATTATCTTCGATTTGTAGATTTAGTATCTAATAGTTAATGAGTTCATCGAAAATCTTGAACAGTTACAATCCGAGTATTTGATGTTCGGTTTTACGCGTTCTTTCTTACTTGCTTTTCATAATTTCGGTGCAGTCAGGTGGGGGAGTTAGCTGACACAACAAACACAACACTTACTCTTTGAATGTATGGAAAATGAAAAGTGGGATATTTTTTTCATCATAATTTTATTTACTCAATACTTGTGGGTATACACATTTCTGGTTTTATCATTGCCGTTTGGTCCACTTTCCGTAGAGAAAAGTAGTTTTTCTACTCATTTAAGAAAAAAGCCTCCTATGTACCGCATTTGAAGTAAATTGAAAGAAATAACATTCTTTTGAAAAGGTCATTCCCAGGTGCATTTCCAATCTATATTTCGAATTTTAAGTAGATCGACCATAAATAAGAGAGAAGAGTAGATCGCCTATTTACATAAGTCGATCCCCGGTTCCCTTCTGGAGAGAAGTAAAGTCTTCCCTTAATCTAGGTGTTTTGGTGTTTTTTGAGATTACTGCATTGTTTTATATGGACATTCGATTTTTATATATAAAATATTACAAAAATAATAATAATTTAAAAAAAATAATCAAAGGTCGGTAAGTTGACCAGAAAGAAAAATTAAAAATATATTTTTGTTTTTATTCGTACTTTTTTATCTTTTCTAAATAATCGCCATTGTTTGCAATAAATTTCTCAATCCAATAGACCCACTTCTGAAAACTGAAAATCTTGGTTTTTAAGCTTATCAAGATCAAAATTAAAAGCATGAATTTTTTCTTCGTTGCTATTAAAGACCTTCCCTTTTAAATTTTGGAAGTAAAAAGAAATCACCAGGTGCTATATCCGGGTTATATGGGGCTGGACGTATTTCTTCGTTATTTCAGCAGTGTAGGATGGTGCGTTGTCATGTTGTAAAAGTAGCAAATCTTCTTTCATCCTGTTTGTACCAGTTTGCAGTTGCCATCTGACCCTTTTACAGTTGAACACCAGCTACGATTATATATCGGGCGAAGTAGACGAACACCATAGTTTTGCTGCTGATTTTTGCTCATGTTGGACTGCTCTTTGGTTAGTGGATTGTTCTTATAGAACAAAGATTCGTCACCAGTAGCGACTTTACTACAGTTGCTAGACTGACCATTTTCGAATTGGTTTAGGAAGAATTAAGCAAAGTGCACTTGAGGTTCTTTTTTGGCCTCATTTAACATTCGGTTTAGCATCGAACAGATTTCTATGTGTATCCCAGATGATTTCTTAAAATTCGTGATACAGAAATGGTCGGGTCTGGATTCTTCGGAACCACTTAGAAATAGTTGTTAGAGCCGGTGCAATCGTTCCATATGCAAAACTTGAAGAGAATCAAATGACGAATTTCTGTTCGCGTTGGTGGTGGGATTGCGTCTTACCAATCCTTTGGTTTTCTCGAATTCGCTAAACACTTTTTGAGCATTTTTTCCGCTAAATCAAGTCGTATGACGTTCAAATTGGTAAGCTCATCATCAACGCGTTCAATATTGACTTTCACAGCTAAAGGCCAATTACTGCAAATAACGCCCACAAGAAGTAGTGTGTATGGGTGTTAAATTGCAAATTCTTTGGAGACCATACAATATCACTATTTCTTGAGATAAATGAATCTCCAAACGCTTCTCGCAATAATTGGGTTGTTGCATGTGCTGTGTGACACGTCTCGTCTCGTCTTATTAGAACCAGATGTAGTTAAGATCAACCTCTTCCAATTGTGGCAATAAAAAATTTGTTAGCATCGATCTACACCGTTCTACATTGACAGAACCGGCGAAACCAGCTTCATTTCGAAAGTAGTACGCACCCATGATTCCACCAGACCAAAAACCACAATTGAAAATTTAAGGGAATGGTGGTTGCACCAGAATTGACTGTTTATTTACCACCCAGATGAAAGTGAGCCTCAACGGAGAAGATGATTTTCTTAAAAAAATTGTTATCCAACTAATGGAGTACACACATATGAACCTATAGTTTATACTAAGCCGCCTTCGAACGACTGATAATTTTTTTATTAGGAGCTTTATTTCATATCAGAAATACACTCGGAGGGGTGGATATTCTCTGCCACTTTAAGAAAATTTAGCTTAATTTTTTATTTAAATTCATTTTCAAAATCTTTTTCGGGTGTTAAAACAACAGCAAGAGCCTTCCGAACGGCAGTACGCAATGCTAGCCACTCACCAACGGATAGGAATGAAAAAATACAGGTCATGACATATTAAAACTGGCCAAAAGGACACTTAGAAATCGTAGTACTCTTATTGGAAAACCCTATATCACTAAGTGTACTAAAAGAGGCACTTTTAAAAAATCCCTGCCTATTAATTTTGTAACGCCACGAAGCTGTTACATATATTTGTAGTTACTGCATTTATGCGCCAAAATGGAATGAAAAGAAATTTGACCCTCAAGCCACTCACTTTGCATATATTTATTTATAACACCTACATAAATATATTTTTAATAAAAATCTATGCATAAGTTTAAGTAAATAATATCGAAATTGTATATTTTATTAATGAAATACAATTCGTTTTCAGGTCCGCCGGGCTCGCCTGGTGAACGCGGCGAAGTGGGACCAGCAGGACCGGCGGGTCCACCAGGCGAGAAAGGACCACGCGGAAAACGTGGCAAGCGGGTAAGTAGTGGAAAATTTTATAATGAAATTCTCTTATTGCTTTTGCTTTGCGCTTTTCGTTTAAATCGCGAAATTTAACTTACATATACATATAAACATAGTACACCTTGGCGTATAAGCAACATATCCTAAGCAACATGTATATAATGTATTGTATATACGAGTATGCAAATGTACGGTGTATTGTATTGTGTATTAACAAAATCTTTGGTTAAAATTATGCAGATGAAATGTAAATATTTGTAAAGTAGAAAAAGTAATTCTAATGCCTGAAATAGCTTAGCGGTTCAAATATATTTACATATGCATATGGTGTTGGTATATTTCGTTTGTTAATATATTGTACTATATATACGTTAATATATATGTACATAGGTATGTATAGAGATTTATGTATTTATTTGTGAAACGTAGAAACAATCGCATGTGACATACATATGTATGTATGAAGTAGGGACGTAATATATTATGCAAGCTGTTGTTTAAAGAAACATGAGAATATGAAATCTTGAGTGTATTTCAAGATATGTATTTATGTACATATCACTAACAATATGCACATGTGAGTATAGCTTTATATGCATAGATACATATATAATATATGTACATTACTATGTTACATTAAAGTACGCACGGTTGCACTCTTGCGGTATTTTACATAAATTCGCAAAAATATTTAAATATTCCACAGCATGCGCCACCACTACCACTCCACCGTTGCGTTGTTAACCTCCTTATTGCTTGTGCCAACATTATATAAATTTCTCCATTTTGGCTACCTGTTAAGACTAAAACACCCATGGCATTTTGTGATTTTTCTTACTTTTATGCAAACAACAATCCCCCTCCGTTGACCTCATTATCCAGTGTCAGCACTCAGATTCCATGCGAAGGTGTTTGTAATAAATTTAAGGTCTTAGCTCGCTCATCTATGTTCCATGTATTATATGATATATTTATATATATATATATTTATATATATCGTGTAAATGTATGTACAGTTCTTGCAGCAGCTCCTCATTTTCTTAAGCCAACACATTTTTTTTATTGAACTCTCTTAATGTTCTTTTCGCTTTCGAATCCTGCTTAATCTATTTTCCTATAATTTAGGTTAGATTATATAATATAATACATGTGTGCATGCATTTATGTGTGTGTGTGGCAATGAAATTTGTGTCCTTGTTAACGTAATTGTCGTACACGTTGTCTCCTCATTATTGGAGTCATATTTTCTTCGTTTAACTTTTTTTGCTACTTCTGCGCGCAAGTTACTCTTTGGGCGTCGGCTGAGGCACATCCAAAGTTTGTTGCCAGCGGCAACATAACCCACTATTTATTCCAGCTCGTTTATCAATGGTTGAAGGACGACTGTTGCGGCATGTGTGCCAGTGAATGTCATATGCGTGAGTATGTTTGAATAGATGAAGTTTCGCAGTGGTTATGGTGTTTGTTCGAGAAAGAGTTTCTAAGCGCGGCGAGTACATTAAAGGTGACAAGCTTAAAAAGAGTTTGCAATATATTTTTAGATTTTGAAATAAAAATTGGTTGGAAATAGTTTCGACATAAACGTATTATTATTTTATGAAATGATTTTTGTGTGCTTTCGGATTTGATTGACAATAAAAATTCATAAAATCCCAAACAATTTAATTTAATGTTCCAAAATAGTTGATATGCCACGGCGGGTAGGGTCCAACTTTGGCATACCTTCTTCAACATAATCGGCCGCGGTAGCCGAGTGGTTAACATGGCGTACTGACATGCGGTAGGCTCGGGCTAACATCCACCAGTTCCACCAACATCCAAAAGTTATCGAAAATTAATTTAAATAAAAAATTAAGTCAAATTTTCTAAATGAGGTCGGCCCTCGGCAGCGAATGTCCACCCCTCCGAGTGTATTTCGGACATGAAATAAAGGCTCTTCGTAAAAAAAACTATCCTTCCTTGGGAAGCGGCTTAGTATAAACTATAGGCTCCTCCATTTACTGGAAAAACATCAAGACGCAAAATCACAAAGTTCCAATTACGAGTATATGTATATCACCAACATACCGAGAGCCGATATTTCGCGGCTAATTTCTTCAATATTGGCTTCAAACAATTAATGGTGTTCAGACTTTGAAACAGTTGAACAAGAGTTTCAATTTACCGATCTTATAAAGCTTTTCACCGAAGACATATCAGCCTAGTTCAGCTCTTATGCAGCGACGGTAATGCTTGACTGGGCTTGTCGACATTCGGCGATGATGATCGGTTGAGTATGTTGGCGCTCGTGTTTGCTGCAGCGATTCGCGGTGTTCTGCTACAGTAATGCGCTATGAGTCCTACTAGAGAACCCAGATGACTGAGGATTGTGACTGCGATCGACTATATATATACGACTTTTACACGTTAAAATATCAAGACTTACTAGAGGATTAGTACTGTGCCTACTGCCATGTGATCAGTTGACATAAATTTTTGTACTATCAAGCCCTGAGTTGGTCGCTCATGTGTTTGCAACGTGTTCACCTCTAATAATTTAATCCGATACTGAATAGAGATGGAATCATCGACTCTAACTTTGGTCAAAATTCGACATTTCCAAACAATTGGATATTTGGCCGAAGCTATAGCCGAGTGGTTAGCACAATGTACAACCATATGGAAAGGCCGGCTCAACCTACATCCAAAATTATAAAAAATTAGACAGACTGTAAAAGGAGCCTTGGGCCCTATTACAAGAAAATCAAAAACAGTGTAGAATTGTCGCAGAGCCCTTGAAGTGATAGCGCGGCAGTACTTTCTAAACTTAAAATATGTGCAAGGGCATATTGTAGAGATGACGAGGATGCTTGCAAGGGAGCGCACTTCTATTCCTTATAGGGGGAAGTGCAAAGTGGTTGGCATGGAATAAAAGTAAATCCAGAGTATTTATCTGACTAAAAAGAAACCAAATTTTTTCTAATGGCTGGTCTTCTTGTGGGATATCTTCTATTAGGTAGACACGGAGAAAGTGTGGGTGTAACACCAAGCTGCTTCTGCAGGTGTTTAAAAGAAGTTAAAAAAACCTGAAACATGAGTTGAGCGAAATAGCGGGTGGGACCAACCCACAGACTCAAAACTTAATCAAAATCGGACCGGTAATTACAATGCTCATCGCGCAAAAAAAACCGTTACACTACTTAAAGACTTTATGCATTAGGCTCACTATTTACCCTGAGGTTTCGCTAATACTTAAGCATCTTCAGGGGTCTCCTCCTCTTCAGAGGTATAATGTCGGAAAATTATTTCACTCCGAGCACATTCTCAGGTCTCTACGAACAGCGATTTATATTGTGCTTAGATCCGTAAGTTGTTTTTATGTTCGTGAGTTCTGCTCTCTCCAGACGGTCGTCGCATTCAGGATTTGGTTCCTACATCGCTGTTAACTATCATAACATCGAGGTCGTAGATAATTTTGTCTATCTAAGGACCAGCATTAACATCAACAGATATGTAATTCAATGCGGAATCACTCTTGCCAACAGGTGCCACTTTCGACTGCATAGATAATTGAAAAGTGAAGTATTCTCCCGAGGTACCAAAACCAAACTCTACAAGTCGCTCATCATATCCGTTCTACTATATGGTAGACGGCAGTATCTGCTGAAGTCTCGAAAGAAAATTTATGTTAACGATTTAGGCATTTGTAACGACGTTACCACTGACGATGGAATCAAGAGGCAGTGGCTATGCTGGCTGGGTCATGTCGTCCGAATAAATGAAAGTATGTTAGCTTAGATAATACTCGATCCAGTATCCGCAGTTAACAATTTGCTTTTACTGTAATAAAAATTGTTAGCCAAGGGCTTGCTTCAAGCTTTCAAGGATATATTGGGTACAGGATATTTGACATACTTAAAGGGTGGTTTTTTAAGAGCTGTTCGAAAATTTCTCAAAAAAAAAAAAACATGAAATTCAAAAAAATGGATTAAACCTTTATTTGAGTCGATATAACAGTTCATAAAATTTAATGTTTAAAGACTATTTCATGCAAATGTTTACCGCGACTGCACCTCAAATTGTCCATCCGATTAATCCATTTTCGACATACTCTCGGCTGGTATCTCACGAATATCCAGGGCGTCAATTGAAGCGAGTTTGTCTGCATAGACCTAGATTTAACATAGCCCCACAAAAAATAGTCTAAAGGCGTTAAATCGCACAGTCAAGGCGGTCAATTGACCGATCTCGAGCGTGAAGTAAAATCTTCACTCGCCTCTCAATAAGTCCAAACAAGAAACGTGCGTCAGCTGTTTAACCAGTGTTGCCAAGCAGATAATAGTTAAAAAAAAATCACCCTTCGTATAAAATTATGCCCTTAATGGCCGACGGCTCAATCCATAGCCGAAACCATTAATCTTAGGGTGCTCTAATTTAGACAGTCACTTCTGCATATGTCTAGTATGCGGATACATATGTAGTTAGCTTTTTGCTTAAATTAACGTCGAGAACATTTTTTTCCAGGAAATCTATAATTTCAGTGCAAGGAGAATTTTTTCCGGAGCAATCTATCCGAAAGAATTATATTTTTGGTTCGATTTGCTTAATTTTCTAAACATTACTCTTTGGCAACGTTTTTAAGCGATTTTTTGAAAATCTTATTCAACAACATTCTATAACAATATTCCTTATAATTACCTTTTATAAAATTTTCCCACAATATTCTGAGAAAAAAATTAAATACTTTTTTAATTTAATTATTTTGTTGCTAAATTGTTATTTTCTTTGTTTTTTTTTGCAAATTTACTGCAAAATATTTTTCATAGTATAATCTCATCAGCAAATCCTTAGAAATATTTTTGCCAACACCGTTTCACAAGCATTTTTTGCTTTGTAATTTGTGTAAAAATGTTTTTTGGTAAGCAATTGAGCTTCAAAAAAAATAACATAAAAAATAAAATAAACGTGCCTGACCCACAGTGCAAGTGCGAGAGTGTTGCTGCAACATCAATTGCTGTCACTTCGTTGCTGATATT